AATATTATTTTCATACATTACTTTCGTACATTTATTTTTTTCAATAGTACAAAAACGATTTTTGAAGTTTAAAGATCTCATTTGTAGCATCATATAATGAGAAATTTATTACTCTAATTGCACGCGAACGCGTCATTTTGTCGTGTAATAATCTATCGCTGATTGGAAGGTTCCTAATAATGAAATAATTATTTTATGCAAGCCATTCTGTTTATGTTTGAATTATTTAATGTTGTTTACCAATACAGCGAATAGCATGGTTTAATTTGAGAAAAGGTGTTGAACATTGCAGGAGTTCTCGTTTATCGTTAAATGTGAATTTGAAGAGGACGAATATTTTCCAGCCTCGACCGTATTTGGCGCTTCTCTACTTATGTTATCCACATAAGCGATCTAGTTTAATGAATATTTTCTATCTTAATTAATACGAGAGAAGCATGTAATTGTTAATGAACTTGTTGGATGCACGATAGACATTGCGTTTTAATGAGCGACGGTACATTGTACATTGCATGTGTATCACCGCACTTTTTAGTAAAGTAGTCATATTTAGACCCACTCTCCCGATAAAGAGATCGACTCGTGTAGCTACCAAGAAAAAGTGTCGATTTATAGTTCTTACTGTAACCTAGTCTAGACACTTTGGACTTTTCTATGTTTAACACTTCGCGCTTGAAATTCTTCTGACCTTTCAAGATGAGCTACGGATTTATACTTACGAAAATGTACGCGCGTACACAGGATGTCCCCAAGTACGCTTCACACAGCGAGATTCTTTGACCGAAATTTAAAATCAATTAAAAATCAATTTCTCTTTAATAAAAATATCGAGAAACATTATAACACGTAGATATTATATCGCGAACAATTAAAAATTAAAGAGTCTCTTCGAGCTAAACTGCAGTCAGTACGTAATACGTATTAAAATCTCGCGCTCCAGTAAATTTCAAGTGAACTTTACTTGAATAAAACTTTAATTAAAAGCTATGTTATAACAAGTCGTTTATTATTAAATGTTGAAAAATTATGGACGTGAATGGTATCTAATGTAATTTTCATCGGGAAAAAATCAACACGAGATTAATCAAAGAGTCTCGGTGGAGCAGTGACGCAAAATTGGGAACAGTTCTCCTGTGTATACAACATATACAAATCTATACGTATATATATGCATGCACATGTGTACTCTCAGATATTCGTGTTTGAACAATTTTTGCGTCAACACGAAATACTTAAAATAATATTTTAAGTAATTACATATACAAAATTTCGTACATTGCTAAGAAAAATGTTCAAAACGTTTAATAAAATTATATTCAGTAAAAAAAACGTGCCAATTATCTACACACACGCAACAAAAGCTTATAGTTTCAATTTGTAATTCATTATTATACTGATGTAATATCGCTTGTCTTCTATTATTTAGTTATATTTTTTTACTTTCTATCTTATACTCCTCTTTCCTTCTTATAGTTTATAGCTTTCTTGCACAATCCTCATGGTCTGTGTGTTAACCAAAATACATGTAACTCCCTCCTTTCGTTTAACTCCATGTAAAATTGAGCAACTATATATATTGCATCTACATTTTAGATGTGCCTACATAATACAAATAAAAAAGGGTGAGTTATTTATTTTCATAATAAATAAATACGAAAGTTTCCAGTCTTATTCTATACTTTTTATTTCTAGCAAGACACTTTACTTTTTGCTCCAAAGAAGCGTTTCCCATCTGGAACGTACAAAATAAATATAAGAATCAAGGAAAAGAGAGTTTCGCTCTACTAGATAAATAAAGATGTATGGCTATACTGTACGGTACAAATAGATTTATTTTAGGGATATAAAATCCTATTTAAAAATACTAAGCTCCGAGGACCATAAATTTCAGCGACCTCACCCCGTAGGAATACGCAAGAAGTCTCTGAAGTATATGAGTTTAGTTATATCTTGATTTAAGTACCAGATGATTTAAGTATACAGATGGTTTTTAATAACTTACGACGAAAACGTTTGTATAGTAACGTATAATTTAAAAATAATAGTTTAAAAAAATAATAGTTGGTTAAATATCATTTTAGACATTGCATTTTACAAAGAAGTGAAATTATCATTTTTAAATATGATATGTTGTGTATTTTGAAATTAAGATTTTCCTAAAATTACGCAAAATGATTATTTATTTATAAATCCATTTGTAATTTTAGAGTATATAAATATAGAATTTTTTAATATCTCATTTCTTATTCATATATATTATTAATTCACTTACTAATTAATCTTTTTCTCTTAAGTTGTCTCTTGTTTGAGACGTGATGAGTTTTTCTGCAATATTCTGATATATGGAACCTACAGTTTTTAACACTGAACAGCCTATTAGAAGAGGTTATTATGGTAAAGATATCCTCAGCGATTTGCCTTTCGAGATGACGATTAAATAAAATCTGATGTGTGTTCTAGATGGATTTGAATCGGTTTGGCACAAACAGCAGCCACATAACTCTCTACGACCTACGCCATGATTTACTAAATAAACATAAATTATTTATAAATTGAAAATTGATATTTGCGTGTATCTATATACGTTATATTTATTTAATTTAAAAAATTACTCATATATATAAATTTATTAACTCTGGAATAATTTGTTTTCTTCAGAGAATTTTAGGTCTCTCCTTGTAAGTAAATATAAATATAAAATTTCAAAAAGTTTTGTAAATTAAAATAAATTGTTATTTTATTAAAATTATTGAAATGTATAATTTGAGCCACTTATCAATATATTGTGTTCTTACATTGTAATCCCTTTTTTTTATATAGATTTTATATAGATTTTTTTATAATAATCTATGATTTTTTTGTGTAAAAATTTTACATATGTTATGTTATAATACATACAACTTTCATAGAAGTTTCGCATGATTTGACAAATATTCAGACAATTTTTATATTTATTTATTCACATTTTTGTATTAGACAAAAATGTCACAGATAAAGTTCAAAATCTACTCTAGCGGCATTATAAAATTGATTTTGCTGTCCGGTTCTTCTGACCCAAGCACCCTTTTTGAAATAACCCTCTTTTGCCCATGCATGCATTTGTTGACTAGTATGAGGTCCATGTATCTCTGCATTTTCATCTTGTGACCATTTCAAATCCCACGTTACATTTTCTTCTAGAGACATATTTTCTTCTGCATTACTTGTTTCCGCTGTTTTTCCTTTATAGTACAATATATATTATGTATGGATATAATAAAAAAATGTTTATACAAAAACAAAAAGTAACAATATATTGTAAAAATGTTTGTCATTAATAAGTTATATTACCCACCATTATCAGTGTCATCTAGTTTTGCCTTCTCCTTTTCATCAAAATCATCAGCATACATATCTAGCTCAGCTTCTTGTTTTGAAGGGTGTGCATGTTTATCTGCTTGTTCAATCTATAAAATATAATTTCTTATATAATTAAACCTTAATACACATAATTGAGTCATTTGTGTCCTACGCATTTCTTTTCTTTGAAATATTAGGAGCACTTAGCTAAATAATAGTCTCTAGCTGTTACTTTTTTTAAATATATACAATATATTTTTTAAACTAAATTATGTATTTAAAATATTATAAATATGTTCTAGATAGATAAGGGATATATCACTTAATAATTTTTATATATTTATGAAAGTGATGAGAGAGAAAATTAACCGACATAAATGACTCACCGTGTATAGCAAAGGAATATCATCATGTGTACTAAGAGTTAAGATAATATACATAAATGTTAAGTTTTTACCTTCTTTTTTATTTGTTCATAACTTTCTTGATATATGTTCATATTACCAGTGCGTGTTAATAATTCATTTGCCAGCTCTGTTAACTTTGTTATGTTAATAGAATTTGGATCTTCCTCTTCTTTACCTGTTTTGGATTCCTTTTTCTTTTTCCACCTTTCAGCTGTAGTCAATTTCCTTTTCCCTTTACCTGGATTGGGACAATTAGCATTATTCATTTGTGATAATTTGAACATATGCTCTATTGCGTTTACCAAGTCTGCATAATGTCTTTGAAACAGTTTCACCAGGTTTAAGATATTCTAAAATTTGTTTATACAACGGAATAGGATCAAACATAATATCTCCCTCATCATCACTATCGCTATCTCCCAATCCATAACTTTTGTTGGACTTGGTACTTTTTTGTAAATTAGTGGTGGAACCAGGTTTAACCTGTGAAAAAAACGTATGTAATATTTATCGAACATTCAAAATTCATTAAATTATTAAGAAATGATAAATATTGTGTGCTTTGAAATTCCAGAGTATAATATAATCCTTGGAATAATACAAAATTTGTAAAAAAGGAGAATTTTGCATTTTTATATATTAGTTAATTCTCAAAAGTAAATTTTATGTTATATTTGTTTACCTGGACCCAATCAATATTGTCCAGCCAGTTATCCCTAACTTGCTTCTCTTTCTTCCAAAGGTAATGGCCATCTTTATCAAAATGACCTTCCTCTAACTCTTCTTTCATATTAAATGCTGTAAAACCTACATTTGCTTCTGGTGCCGAGGGTCCATCTTCTGTACCTGTTAGATAGATGTAATTAAGCTATTCTATATATATCAACTTGTACAAAATGAGAATTTACAACAATAAAAATAATAATAATAAACGTAATATATTGATTTATCTATATAATATTATATATCCAATTCGAGATACCTTCAAATTCATCTTCATTCATGATATTATAAGTATCTTCATTTACTTCGTCGTCATCTTCATCAGAGTCCAATGAATTCTTAAGTGGTTGCTTATCAGATGCATTTTCCATATCATCAAATTTACGTTTCGACATGGTTTCTTTATGCTACTGACTTTTTTTTATCAAAGATAAGCTTCTACATCAAAGATTTATATTATTCGAAGATTGCAACATAAATTAAATAATTATTGTGTATTCTAAGATATATATTCTAAAATAATGTTAAATGTACTCTGTGTATCCTACTGAAAAAAAATCACACAATTGCATAATCATGTAATTAAAACATGTAAATCAAGTAATGGATTATTCCAAATCACTACATAATTTTTTTAATTACATAATTTGTGAAAAGTCACACAATAATATGTTCTTTTTTTTTCATTTCTATCATTAAATTCTTTAAAATTCAATAATTATAAAATCACATAAAGGATGAAATTATTTCTAACATCATGTGATTTTTCAAATTATGTAAAAAAATCACATACTGATTTGGAATAATCCGTTACGTGATTTACATGTTTTAATTACATGATTTTTTTCAGTAGGATACTATATAATAATTGTTAAATATTCTAAGGTACAACTGAACATATAAATTAAAATACTTCTACAATGATTGAATATTACATACATTTTTCAGAAGTAAACTTCGTACAGAAAATCTTTCGTGTTTTGAAGAAGTTTGATGTCAAGAGGTTAGTTTATACTCAGATTATATTACGACGTAATTTCCAAATATCGGTTATTTTATCCGTTATAAAAATTTTGCTCCACAAAGCTCGTTTACAAACATTTTTTTATTTACAATTATGATTCGCGTGACATTTATCGTCAGGATCGTGAGTAAAATTTTCAAAACGGCATTACTTGATACAACAATCAGATGGAACTTCCATTTTACTCACTCTCTCCTGTTCTATCTGCTATCTCTATCCCTACCAGTAGTCCCAAGTCCCTATTATTTTATGTTACTCGCCTGCCACCTCACGATTTCCATCAATTTTCACGTGACCACGCATGTGCTGAAAGATGTAAAGTTGGAGCAGAGAAATGTGTGTATGTAGTTTTTTAATGATAGGAAACACATATTTTCACGTATTTGACAATTTTATTTTTTTACAATGGTAATGAATAAACAATTGTTAACATTAACATAATCAATAGATTGTATATCAAATCTATTAATTTATTTTTATTTCACGTTAAATAATGGAATATTGTCAAAATTATTTAAAAATTTATATAATACATAGTGTTCATACAATTTTTTTTTCCAGAATTTCATATTGCCAAAAGACATTAAAAATAAATCTTTTGTGTGTGTGTGTGTGTGTGTGTGTGAATGTATAATATAGTATAATTACTTAAACTAACACACATTAACGATGCACAGATTTTATTATGCTGTTTTTATATTTGCGTGATCCGCGCGTATTCCTTTTATTTCTAATAGTACAAATTATTATTTTTTAAGTGTACTATTTTTACTAGTACAAAATAATTGCCAATATTCCTTCATACTATTACGCCATTTAGAAAATGCGATTCATTTAATACATCATTGTTATCCGCTTTGACAATAAAATTTTCAATATATATATCGATTCAATAATCTTATTTGTTGTAATATCAATATGGTATATAATATTAATATTTCACATATTACTTATACTATTTTTTGAATACTATGTAAATAAATAACTATTCCATGTACACTATTTTTGGAATGTTTACTATATCGGAGAATAAAATTTCTTCTATAAATTGTGATTAATATAATTGTACTTGATCCATATTGTAACTAAATGCGTGCAAATGGGAACTTGATGGGACTCTTACATATTATTTGATGCTAACACTTTGATTTAATTTTGGCTTTGACAAAACGTATACATTATAAAACGTATACAGCATATTGAAAATAATTATGGTATATTCATAGTATATTCATAATATATTAATCCGAGCCAGTGCAATTAATCTTACTAAGATGTGGATAAACGATTACATTAAAAACTTGAAACATTTTAGAAATATCTTCTATCTTTTGTAATTCAAAAGAAAATTAATTATCATATGATTCTTTTGATGTAATATTATATAATTTTTTTGAAAAATAAATAATTATAAACATTCATAATAAATATAAATATCGGACAATAGGTGAGCTCCTTTGGATTAACATAAAGAATATGTTTCAGGTACATGCTAGTTATTAGGAAATGTTTTGTTTAACTAATATCACATATAAATAAAAATGAAGAGATTTATAGAACACATACAATAGCATAATTAAACGTTTGTAAATAAACTGTAAATAAAACTTTCTTAATATGATATATACACATTCTGTGAAATGATTTAAAATAAGTAAAGTAGTAAGTCTTTAAAATTATTGCAAATGTCTTAAACAAGCTATAATGTTAATTTTAATGTATTTGTTAATTATGTAATATTAATTAATTAATTTATATATATATATATATACATATTACATCTCTTACAGCACTATACATACATATATCAATGGACTATAGACGTGGAATTTGTTAACAAAGAGATATCTAGCATGTATTTTTGTAAATTACGGAATAGAAATATACCCTCTTTATATGAATTATATTAGAAACAATTTGATTATTTAATAAGTAGTAATTTCCTTCCTTATTCATTTGTATTACAATAGTACACATTTGTATTATAAGATTTATATTAATAAATCTTGAAAATATGATATTAAAATGAATATGCGCAAATAGTATAAAAGAGAATTTCTATTAAAAATGATATCTTTACAAATT